GGAACAAATGGAAGGCTATCTGATTTCATTGTTACAGCTGCTGCTAAGAGGAGAAAAATTGTAAAGCTTGTCCATTGGATTAAGCCTTGTAGGCCTTTTGTCAAGATAAATGTGGACGGGAGTCTCAAGAAAGAGACAGCTGGAGCTGGGAGAATTTTCAGAGATTGGAAAGGAAAATACATTTTTAGCTTTTCTGCTCCTGTGAGCTCTATTACTGCCTAATTTTCAGAACTTGCTGCTATTCATTACAGCCTTCTAATTGCTAGGAGATTGAGGATTTGGTCTTCAGTAATTGAGATGGATTCTTTGGTTACATTTCATATTTGTGTTGGGAATTTCAGTAGCCCTTGGTATAATATCATCTTATAGAGGAAGATCATGTGTTTGCCACCTTTATTCACTATCTGATGGTCTCATACTCTCAGAGAAGCCAATAAACTTGCAGATTCTTAACCAAACTCAGAGCGTCTCTCAATATGACATTCTACCCATACGATACAAAGTACTGTACTACCCTAACAAAAGGATACAGAGAGACTCAAGAAATTTAAAACATGCAAAAAAAAGTAGCTAGGGACGGGCCAGTTTAGTGATGCCTCTTCCTCTAGTTTTTGAAGTGTCATGTCATTGTCAGGAGTAACCAAAGTATCATCCATCAAGTTTTCAAGTTGAAGTGTGCCCCCAGCTTTATTCTTCTGCCGAGAAGTGTAAACCTATCATTTTTCATCTGAATACTGGCTCATGTGATCCTCGGTCTGATTAGATATTAGAACAGCAGTAGAATGAAGGACATTCGTTGCCACAACGATAGGTTCCAGTGTATGTGAAGTTTGAATTGTTACCTCTGCATCTGATGCTTCCTGAATGAAGCTGCAGGACTATCCTGATTTTCAGTTCGAACATGTTCCGAACATTCTCCCTTATAGTATGGTCAGGAGAAGGGTTTCCAGGGGCAGACACTATTTTTGTGGTGAATCCCTTCTCAGGTTGGTTGTCATCAGGTTTGCTGGGAGCGCGTTCAGATGCACTAATAGCATGTTCTTGCTTTTGACTGTTAGTTCTCAACTGTGTGTGCAATCTGAAACATTTCTCTCGCGGGTGTCCAAACAACTTGCAGTGTTTGCAGTGTTTGCAGTGTGTGTCTGTGTGTGCGCCACAAGCCTTGGCTTGTTGGTGGTCGGGTCACTGTAAGTCCCCTCAGGTCAAGGGTTCGATCTAACCGTGGCGCGGGGGCTCTGAAATTTTAGGCATATGTCGCGGGCTCTTGTTATGGGACCAAAAAGCGTTTGGGAAATCGATATTTGAGCATCTGTTAAATATAGATTTCCTTTTGCAGAAAAAAAATTATATATA